CCACTCACAGGACATCCTCTGTGGACCTCCTCAGGACTAGCTGGTAGTCCAGGATGGAGATCAGAGCTTCCTCATCTGGGGCTTTGGCAACAGGCTTCCCAAACCGGTAGTTGGAAGCCCATTCTCCCACTGCCACCACCAAGGGACACTACAGCAACTCATTCAGGTCCACACAAAGGTGTTTAGAATGCATCTCTGGGGTCAGTGAGACAAATAAAATCTACACTCTCTTAAGTAATAGTAACAGGAACTGCTGAACCAGGCTTTTGATCCCAGCATCGAAGTCTGTTGTCCCTGACAGACACCCTGGGGACAACGATCCTCAGCCCAAGTCCCGAGGAAGGAATGGTGCTGAGCAGGTCCCTGGGTTCACAGTGGAGTCAGTACCAGGCCCTCCCCTCTCTGGAAGGACAGCTTCAGCATTTCTGTCTGACACTCTAGTGTCTTCCAGGTGTGGAGGAGCAGCTGACGCGCAGGGGCTGCACAGACCACTGTGAGTAAGCTCCCCCTTTCCTCGCTCCCCCCGACTCCAGGGGAATGAGGAGCAGGGACAATTCTGACTGCTTCTCAAAGGATCAAGTGCGGCTCTCCATGCACTCCTCACTGATCTGAGCCAGCACATCTCAAGATGAAGTTCCCCACCGACAGGTCTGCAGTGCCAGGGAGATGCTCCATAACTCTGAAGGGGTGGGGTAGCACGAAGTCAACTGCATCCCAAGCCCCCAAGACCACACCAGCAAAGGAAATGCACAACACACAAACCAGCTTCATGATCACTGACTGCCCTGTCATGTCCACTCTGAAAGGCTATGGGTGTGGGACTGTGGAGCAAACTGGATGAGCTCCTGGGGGCCACGAGGAGTCCTTCCTGGACTGTTAGTCATACTGTTAGTCGGTTGTTACCCATGCTGCTTAGCTTCACCATTTCATTCTAGGGTCAAGCTCTATCTAGATGGGTCTAACCTCAGTCCATGGCCTCACAAGTCCCAGATAGCTATGCAGACAGCCCAACAGAAAAATTGTAAAACTTAGAACATTGCAAACATTTTGGAAAAAAAATTCAAACTTGGCTGTGGAATTCTCAAGCATGAGTGCTACAGATGACCATGCCAAAAGGTTGGGCACACGCCTGTGAGGTGCTTCAGTGTCCAGGTTTGAAAAGCCAGCTTTTCCTAAGGGATTCTCAAAAAGTCAATGTAGAGGGTGAGAAGTATACGTTGTGTCTCTAGAACTTTCTACCTCAGCCTTGGCCTCCTAAGTCCTAGGAGTTTTCTTCCCCTTCTACACTGTCCCCAATAGGTCGCTCTGTAAAGCAAACACAGCCCTGTGGATTCCCCAGGGAACACACAGGCCTCTGGGGCTGACCTCTCCACAGAACATGCCCTGGTGTACCACCATCTCATTCCCACCCGTGACAAGCTTGCTGCTGTAGTGGGGCTAGAAGGGGGAAAATGCACCTGAATGTCTCAATCAATGGGTGCGGAGAGCTGGTAGGTCAGCCTGGGCTCCTCCAGCACCTTAAAGGGTTAGATGCTCAACCTATGCTCAACACTCTACCCATGTTCAATGCTCTACCCATGTCCAACACTCTACTCATGTTCAACACTCTACCCATGTTCAACACTCTACCCATGCTCAATGCTCTACCCATGTTCTCACCACATATGTATGAAATTCAGAATGTAAGGTTTTCAGAAACCCATCTTACTCCTTGGCAGACCTAAAGAGTGCTAGGGTAGAGGCCACAGACACCAATTATGTCAAATGCCTTCAAAGCCTGCCCACAGCCTGATGCCCTCTTAAACCTGCTCCCTGTGCCCTCAATCCTGTGGGTGGAACCGATGGTCATACTGGCCATGTGTGAGTAAGTGTGGAATGTTATGGTCTTAGTTGTTTGTTCTCTCCAAGCATGGCTTGCAGGTGTCACCTTCTAGAGGCCTCCACCCCTTGAAACATCCAAAGCTCGCCAAACTTGTCTCTAGGTTCACTGCTTCCTCCTCTCTGAAAGCGACTGCAGGCAGCAAGCACATGAGTGTTCAAGGTCACTAGCGGCCATGCTAGTTATTCTAGGTGGTCAATGACTTTTTCACCTGACCTCAAGGGTCAAACAGAAGGAACTTAGTCAAGTCATACTGAGATTTGTCGTAGGGTCCATCCTGCCATTAGTAGGGTCTCTAAAACTTCATGCTGGGGTCTCTTCTTTGATCGGGTGGGGATGGTGCTCTACAGGGTTGCTGGGGGACAGCCTTGTTGGCATTCTAGCCTTACTGAACACTACACCACCATCCTCAGCTGCCTTCTTCTTCTACAAAATCCGTTTCCCCTCACAGCTCATGATGAGCGCACATGCACCACCCCCCCCACACACACACGGTTCTCAGCACCATAAGAGGGTGCCACCAACTGCCAGGACCTGGTGCAGAGGTGATAGGGTGCCATCGTCATCACTGCTTCTCTGGGTCTGATTTGAGGGATGGGGTGCTAGAAGCCTGGATGTCACCAGATACTCCCAAATGACCAGATGAACATTCTAGAACTTTCCTGTCCAGCTCCTTGGCTCTGAAGATACCATTGGACCAAAGCTCCTGACTTGAATGCCATGAACATCTGCCTGTGGGAGCTGTATGGTAGGTTGGCCATCTGGAGGACGACCTTTCCAACAATAGAGGCTACTCGAGAAGTATATGTTACATGTAGACATGTAAGGTAAGGTCAGAATGGAGAGTGATCCAGAGCTTGGCAGGGAGCAGCCCTGATCACTTTGGGCTCTACCACATACAGACCTTGGTCAGGTCTTGAACATATCTCTTATCAAAATCTCAGTGGTAACACATGAGACTTTGAACATGGTCCACGAAAGGCTGAGCCAGGTCTGCCAGCCAGCTATGCACTGACTCTCTTTGGCTTCTAAAGCCTGATATCACAGCAAACTTTCTTTTAGAATGACAAAAGGGCTTTTTTATCCAGTGTGCTGATTCTACTATTATTATTGGTTTCTGATGTCACACACAATACTGTTTATTCAGTTCTGCCCATGGTACACAATGCTTTGTAGGTGTGAAGCTGTTTGACCCACTAAGATATGGCTAACGACTGTTATGACTCCCTGTTTTATAGGGAAGGTAAACTCACCCAGTGTCCTGCTGGCAAGTTGAGGAGTGAGTTTTACACCTACATTCTCAACCACTAGACTCCTTGTTTGGCCTTTTCCTTGACTGGGATGGTGTTAAATAGCATAAAGACTCGGAGCCATTTTATAAAGAAGAGAGACAGAGAAGTTAAATTCAAACCAAATTCCAAATGCAGTTTATTTTAGCCCTTGTGTTTTGAGAAAAATGAGAAATGCCTTTTCTATAAATTTGCAAGATTACAGAACTTACTGTAAGCATTTGCAAACTCTGGCCCTGGGTGTTGAGGCTGCTCCCCTGCCAGCACTATTGCTGTCCCCATTGTGACTGTCAGTCAGAGAGTGGGTACAGCTCTCTCATGTTCACTCATGAAGATCCAGCCACAAGACAAAAATACACAGGGCCTGATAGTCTCACATCCTCCCCAGATGACCCACATTAACCTCTCTCAGGAGGCAGATCCTGAAGTGTAATGTTGCTTACCCAGCTCTGTTTCAACGGCGGAAATTTCCACCCAGCCACTCACGAATGCCGATGCCTAAATATAAATAGTCTCCAAGATGCAAAACTCATCATTCAATGACCTGAAAGTTCTCTGAGGGCCTCTCAGGTGTGACACAGATATGACCTGTCCTGGATAAGGCAGTGCCAACTCTCAAGTAAGACATGTTTATCAACAGCTCTGAAAGGAAGGCTGATTCGGTTCTGATATTTGCTGGAAGACGCCAGCATCAGTCTTAGAAAAACAGCTGTGAATCTCTGAGAACATGAGTATAGTTGTTAGGAAAAAGTCCCATCCCTGGTGGTCTTAACAAGGCACGCTCAGCCACCTGCCCCAATCTGCTGATTAAAGAGACAAAATAATAGTGAAAAGTAGAGAAAGGAGACTTACTTTCTCAACATAGCCTCATTGGAAAGAGGCCCAGTGACCCCCAAGTCCACCTTCAGGGCACTGACAAGAGGCTTAGGTATAAGTAGAGGGCAAGAGAAATGTGACTATAACTAAGCAGTCCAGGTCAAGTGTCTTGCCACCTACCACAGACCCATCATTGCCCTGGGCTCTCCTGCATGGTGGTCTGGTACTTCAGACCTGTGTGAAATCCAGTCCTGGGGGACAAGTTCCTCCTTGGCTTTTTCCTCTTCCTGGCCTGAGATTCTTGAGGAAATGCCAATATCTCAGGGGACAACTGTTAAAGTCTGATGTCCATAGAGAAGGGCACAAGTGTCTCCAGGAAGCTCCCCAAGCCTACTCAGGGAACTGAGAGCTCAGAATCCTGTGTGGCACCAGGCTCCAAGCCCAAGCATCTCTGTCCCTCACTAAGGACACCTCCACACAGGGCTCTGGGCATTCCCTCATGTTATTGCCATATGTGTAGTCTTCAGCAACACTGAAGTTACCACAAACACGCACTTCCTCCTTTTAACAGAGGGGTCTGACCACCTCCCCAACACCCCTGTCTCTGCTGGAAACAGAAGGGATTCACTGTATAATTGTTAACTCCCCACCATCAAGCTCCAGCCTGGTCAGTCCACTGTCAGTTCAGAAGAACTGACACTTAGAAGCTATCATCTCTCTTGCAAAAGGTTAACTTTACAACCACAAAACGAGGTAGAAAGCAAGCAGGGAAAACACGATCCAGAGAAGTCACCAGCCCCGAGGGGTCACCTTGCATTTGGGCAAGAGCTCCAAAGGTTGAGCAGACCATATGTATGATAGTGCTTAGCACTTTACAAGATGCTTAAATTAAGCCCAGAGGAGCTGGTATCTCAAGAAGGCCCTGATCCCCAGGGAGGGCATGACATGGCACCTCCTGTTAACCTATGTCCTGGGCCTTCCAGTTATCCAAATGAGAGAAACTGTACTTGTCTTACATCTGTGGGTTCGCAGACATAGCCCCAGACGCTACAGAATGCACTCCTGGAGTTCAGCTATTGTTCCTTCTCTGCCATGCCCAGGATGGAAATGACTCAGCTGGGGCAGGGAAACCCTCCGGATTCCAGCTGGCTTAGCAGAGCCACAAACCAGTCTCAAAGGGAAATTCCAAGGTTTGGGAACCCGCCCTGGTCCTTTGCCAGAGCTGGTCACAGAGAGGAGGTCTGCCTCTTATGTCTTCCCCTGCCCTGAACTTGAAGCAAATAAGACTATATCCAAAGAGTCACAGACAGGCAGTGTCTCCTGGAAAAAGGCATGACCTGGAGCTATAAGCTCTCTGACTTTAAACAGCAGTTCAGAAGCCCCCTCACCCCCACCCTCAGCCTCCACCTACGAGTGCAAGTCTGATCAAAACTTGAAGGGCATAGCCAACACGCAGAAAAGCCTGAAGCATTCTGGTATCTGCTGTTATTCCCACCAGCCACCCTCCACCCCCGCCCCCCCCATTAAGCTTAAATAGGAAACAACCCTGTGTATCATTCAGTAATATGTTCTGCTTCATCTATATTGGCGCCTTCCTTTTGTAAGAGTTCTCAGTTCCGGGTGCCTTTTGGACCTGGGTGGGGGTGAGACGGCGTGTGACCAGGGGCTTTGCTCTCCCCAGGAAAGTCTAGCATCAGGACCACTTGAGCCCCTTAGAGCCGCACATCGTCCTCTTAGCAACAGTGCTGGGTGCGCTCAGCCAATAGCACAGCTCCTCCCTGCCTCCAGCTGGAGGTTACTAGCGAGCATTGACCGATAGTAACCCGACAAATGCTGGAGTCAGTGGCAAGCAGGCACGCACTGCGCCTGCCCAGCAGCTCACACCTGCCCCGCCTGTCCTGCCCGCACCTGCTGTGTCTCCTTCATTGAGAACACAGTTTCCTAAGAACTCAAAAATCCTGTAGGCAGCCTCCACTGAGCCTGCAGCCAGGGTTACATGTGAGCAACGGGGCCAGTGTGTCCTGGCCACCTGTAAATGCACACATAACCACAGAAGGAAAGGAGGGGTGTTCTAAGCAACGAAACCCGTGATAGGGCTGTCACTTGGTCAGTGATTCCAATACTGAGCCAGGAAGATGACAGTTGGCTGGAATGACCTATTCTCTCATTCATATTCATATCCCCCCCCTCACACACACACACACACACCTTGGAGATCAAGCAGAGATCCAACCTGTCTAGCAGGCAGTAATGGGGTTCTGGACTCTGGGCAGATGCTAAAGTTGCTGCCTGCCCAAGCCTGAAAGATTTTGTTTTCTCCCGGGACCCCCATTGACAGCAGGCAAAGAGGCCTTCATGTGGACATCTGCAGCGTTTATCTCCTGAGCAAGAACATGACACAGGTCCTCTTACGTGGGTCTGAGCCTTCTGAAACATTTTGAGGCAGAGAGTTAAGCTCTTGGGTAATGAGACAATGTGGGAAAGCAAACAGTAAATAAACACCAGCTATTTTTAATTGCAAGTGAGCACGACTCTCTCAAAAGTGGGAGAAGAGGCGCAAGACTGAGACCTCCCACAATCCATGCCTGGCCCAGGCACTTCTGGGCAGAGCCACCAGTTGCCACATGACAGACACAGAGCAGGTGACTCATGCTGCTCCTGCACTGGGTACCACCCTTATCAGTTACAGAGAGCAAGATCCTTCTAGGAGGAGTGCTCATCTCTGCCCTGTGACCCACAAGTGTCACTGTGCTGTGTGATCACAAAGCAAACCTGGGACCTCATTTCTCCACTGGCCACCTGTTCCCAGTCCTTCTATTAAGGCTGCCCACCTTGATGCACTTGGCTACTGTTTCGTCCCTGGTCAGTGTCCCACACTGTCCAATTTGTGAGCCCATTTCATGACCAAGGTGACCTGTTCCACAGAGCTGCAGAAGCAGGACCTGGGTTAACTCAGGAGCTAAGGCTGATTTTAGCTCCCAAGCATTTTCTAAGAATGAGCCTTGTGCAAGCACCTCCATGCTGTCCAGGAGTCTCGGGCTCCCAGTGACTGAAGTGATCAAATAGAGTGACTTGCAGGCAGGGATGGGGCAGATGGCTTGTCCCCACATATGGTAGTTCAAAGCCTCCTGTTGGCTTCAAGATCTAGATTCTAAATACAGGTCTTGACTGGATATAATCACAGCCTTGGCAGTCCTTCTAGCTTTTGACACAGAATACCATTTGCCCCACTGCACAGAGGTGGCTAACAGCACAGCTGGTTCAGTGGGAAGTGAAACTATTGGCTCTGGGTCACATGGGATAGAGTCAGCAGGCACATCAAGCATCCTTGACTCCGCAAAGCCCTCTTATGCCTTTTTCTCACAGGGCCAAAGCACCAGCATCAGACACATTTGATTTAAAGACACATTTTCCCCTACACAGTAGGCATTTTATCGTCTCGTGAGGAACGTGCCTTGTGACCATCACCTCGACTGTATGGTGTAGCCTTAACTATATTTAATCTGACCCCCATGGTTACCTCTTTTCCTTAAATAGGTGAATCTGTTGATGCTGGAACTGAACTCAAAGGGAGCAGGTGTGCGGTTACTAAACATTATGTTTCTGCCAGTTTATAAACAAAAGAAACGGTTTTATGTTCAGCAAGCTGTCAGCTGTGGTTATTTCTTGAACCAGGAGGCCTGTCTTTGGTTTAAAAGGACTTTCGTCTCAGAGGGTGGATGTATCTGGACACAAGCCCACTTTGTGGTGCTAAATGCAAGCAGGACACAGAGCAAGCATGGCAAGAATGTCCTTGGGAAATCAAATAGTGACACCAGTCCAGCAGCAGCACACAGGCCTGCAAAGCCACCCTGCAGAGGCCAGATGGCTCAAGAACAGGGACATTCTTGGGAAAGTGACAAGGAGGTCACATGCCCAAATAAAGAAACTGCCAAACAGAGCACTCAGGAAAAGAAGAACTCAGGGCCAATGTCACCAGGGCATCTGACAAATGTCCAGGGGTGTCAGCCCTGACCACACAATGCTTTGGGACACACACCTCTCACTCCAGATCTCAGCTTCTCACGTGTGGATGGGACTAGAGGGGGCAGGTGTGCCAGTCAGAAGACAGGAGACAGATCCTGGATGCTGAGATGAAAAACTGGCAAGTCAGTGGCACTCAGCATTCAACACTCTTGAGTCTGTCCTGAGAGCTGCCCAGCATTAACAGTTCCTCAAATTCTATTTTTAGCCCACCAAAGAAGTTCCTTATCACCAAGGGTGCTGCTCTCAGGACCCTGAACAGATGGCCTACCCATCTGTCCCCAGGAGTCACCAAATACTGAAGAGCTAAGAACTGACCCCTGGGTTCACCAAGGCAACAGATGGCCACTGGGGCACTCTCTGAAATGCTTAAGCCACAAGTGTCTCTGCAAGCAGTCTGGGACTACATGCTGCCTGAGAGGGTTAGCAGTGAAAATAAACACAGCAAACGGTGTGTTAAAAGCAAGTTCCTTTTGGACCCAAAAGAAAGCCTAGTACAAGACAGGCCACAAGGCTCAAAAGAATTCTTCCACGCTAGGGGACTGTGAATCCCCCTTGAAACCTAAGCAACCTATCACTGTTGTGGGGGCTCTCTGGAACCTTCCCTTTCTGGGCTGGATTGCCCTTCCTATCCCCATTCTTGGGCACTTGGTTGAAGTCCAAGCTTCCTAATAGAATTCCTGAAAGGGGTATATTAATGGCACATTCCACTTATTTTAGCCAGCTTGTAATGACAAGCTTTGTGAAATGGTGATGGAAATTAAGAGAAAGCAAACCTTAATTTGAGAAGGTTGTTTAAAGGCCTTTTATAACTCAGAAGCAAACCAATACAGATAATCAGGCTTGGAGCTGCCCAGACTGCTTAACTCCTTCCTGTTTTTTTTTGGGGGGGCGGGCAGGGCTGAAACTGGGGGACTCAGTTGCAGCATAGACTGTGGTGTATTCTACTCTGTCCAGGGAGTGTGGCATGTGCAGACATGGGCTGGCCTGGCTGAAGGACGGTGAAGAAAATGTGCTGAAGCCCCAGGTCTGATTGCGTTTCTTCACAACCTAAACTTTGCCAGGTGATCTGTGCAGGTGTATTTAATTCCTAAGAGCCATGTCATGTGCTGGGGAGAGCACGTTCCCTGCCATCAGCTCCCTTCACCGGCAAGGACACAGCTCAGGCACATCTTGCCAGAGGAGAATGGAATTGCAAAGCCATCCAGAGAGCTTTATTAATCTAAGCAAGACCATGAGATGGGAACCAAGGCAGCCACTAATAACACCGTCTGTACTGCAGTTGTCCAGGGTGAATCCCTCCTCAGGGGTAACACTCAGGAGGTTCCTTGCAGGTAGCCAATCGTAGTTTGAAATCCCACAGGCATGGTTTCAGGTTGGTCTTTCCTACTATCGTGACCTTGAGATGGGTAAGAGGGGTCAGAACCCCTTCTGAACCAGCCTCATGAGCCAAGCAAGCTGAGAAGTTCCCTTCTGCAGGAAACCACTCACACATGCTAGGTTGTCAGAGGGGACGGTCTACAGGGCTCTCCAGCCATTCTAGCTGTGACATTAGGCAATCACATCCTAATGAAAAAGAGACCACTGTGTGGGGGTGGAGGCATGAGCCTCCATCACTCTAATCTTCTCAGTTTTGCCATGTGTATTCTCTTTAGGGGGTTTCTTGGCCCAGGCTGTCTTCCAGAGTCACTCTGGCCTGAGAGGCGACTGCTCCCATCAGTCCTCTACCACAACAGCCTGTGTGACAGCACCAAAGGTAAGATTGTTCCGAGTCAATTGTCCCATCAGCTCACACACTACGTGAGTGGGTTCCTTGAGGGAGGGTAATTACCAGACCAGAAGCCGGTGAGATGCTCCTTGGGGTGTGCCGCGTCCTCCCGAGACTGACTCCGTTCACAATTATGTTCCTACCAGGAATCTATTACATGATCTCGTTTTTCCTCCAAAGACATCATTAATCATAAGATGAAAACGTAAGTACAATTGAAAACACATGTTTGCTTAAGCACCGCCATCAGTGCTCAGCAGTCCGTCAAGCTCCTAGACGTGAGCCAGAGTAACCCCAAAAGCAATGGACACTGTCCCTTCCCAAGTCCCCTTCCTCCCCAGCAGGACTAACTTCACATTCTCTC